CCTTCGCAGTCTCTCGCCGATTCTCGCTGCAACCTTCATCCACCTCGCGGTCGTCCCACTCTCGTCGTTCTTTCCCTTGTCGCTTCTTCTTCTGTGCCAGTGTGCTGTGAGAGAGGCTTGTATTTTAAGAATTCTTCTGTCGCGTCGCTCTCCCCTCTCGTTTTTTTTTTGTAAAATTCTTTTGTTTCCCGGGCAGGCTTCACCTGCCAATGGTCGGAGGGGCGGAAGAGCTCGGCTGGCGCTGCCTTCCCTCGCTGCCCTCCGCGCCGACCCACCCCGGCTGCCTCGCCTGGTCCGCGCACGGCCAGCTCGCCATCGTCGCCGGTCGCCGCGTCTACATCCTTCCCGCGCGGCCATCGACCGTCGGCCGCGGCGTCGTGCTGGCGAGCCGGCTGCTCGAGGGCGGGCAGCCGAACGACGCGATGCCGTCGGCGCACAACGCCGGCGGCGGCAGCGGGAACCAGCGCGCACGCCGCAAGCCGAACGGCACGGGCGGCGTGGCGGCGGCGGCGGTAGTAGTCGACCTCACTGAGGAGCCCGAGGAGCGGTCGGCCGAGGAGAAGGGGTGGGAGGCGTGCCCGCCGCAGCTACTTGAGGCGACGTTCCGCTGCGTGGCGTGGTCGCCGCCGCTGCCCGCCGCGCCGCCGCGCTGCCTCCTCTGTGCCTCGGTCGCCCACCGAACATGTATCCTCAGGTCGCCCTCCCAGCCCTCCCAGCCCTGCGCCCTCCCAGCCCTCCCGGCAGTCCCAGCGCAGAGGGGCGAGCGCGGTACCTCGGTCTGCCACCCTCAGGCCTCCGGCGTCGCGGTACGACGTCGAATGGGAGGTGAGTCTGGACGTGTCGGCGCTTCTGCTCGCCGCGCAGCAGCAAGCGTCGAGCCGGCCGGGCGGAGGCGGAGGCGGAGGCGGAGGCGGAGGCGGAGGCGGAGGCGGAGGAGGAGGCGGAGGCGGAGGCGGAGGCGGAGGAGGAGGAGGCGGCGGCGGCGGTGTTTCGCAGCGGTCGCTCGAGGTCCTGTCCGCGGACTGGTCCCCGCCGCTGCTGGGCGGTGTCGTCCTCCTCGCCCTCGGCGGTCCCCGCCAGCTCTCCCTGCTGGCTCTCGAGCCGCCGCGCCACGCCGCCGCAGCACACGCCGCCGCAGCACACGCCGCCGCAGCACACGCCGCCGCAGCACACGCCGCCGCAGCGCACGCCGCCGCAGCACACGCCGCCGCCGCCGCGCCGGCCGCCGCCGCGCCGCCGCCGCAGCGCGCGGGCGGCAGTCGCGGCGGCGCCCCTTCCGACGGCGGCGCTTCAGACGGCGCCTCGGGCTGCGTCTCGCGAGGTATAGCCGAGATGCAGCCGAGCTGCAGCCGAGATGTGCCTCGCCCAGGCGACGGCGACGGCGGCG